GAACTAAAAGAAAAAAAAAGGATCGAAGCTTAATACAAACTGAAAAAAAAAATGAAAAAATAGAGTATGCGAATTGGAAGAAAAAAGGAACTAGGCTTAATACAAACTGAAAAGAAAATGAAACAGGTGGAGAAAGAATGAAAAAGGAACGAAGCTTAATACCTGGTTGGGGGTTGGGTTCACTGGATGTTGAGATCAAAAGGACTCGTTGAGAGCAAAAAGACTCAACGAGTTGAACTCTTACATATAAAGAAGTAGGACGCTGTAAGGGCATTTCAGTCAAAAATAAATGTATACTAAGGCTGATTCACCATTCAARGGCAGTTTGGTCATTAAAATGCATTTGTGATGACGTGGGTAACTTGTGTTAAGGACCTCTAACGGTGCTCTAATGGATGGTGAGTTTTGGAAAATAAAAATCCACTAACATCGGGTTCCCTAGACATTTTGAAAAGTTATGATAAGTTTAAGAGAATTCATGAAAAGCCATGGTGAGTTTTAGACAATAACCCTTGTTTTTGTTTCTTTTTTTATTTCTCAAGTGTATATTTACTCATGTTTTTTTGTTTATAGGTAGTCAAGATAATAATCATTTTACTCATAAAAATCCATTATTAAAAGGGACATTTTTGTTCTATTCAAGTGTTAGCAATTTTTCTCCCAAGGGGAAAGATATTTATCCACTTGAGAGATGGGTATACTCAGGAAATAAACTTTTTCCTGGTCCCCATACAAATCTAAAAAAAGAACATGGTTTTTTTGGTCAATGGGAACCAAAATCCCATTTACTAACTTTTCCCTCTCAAAATCCAAAAAATGAACACCCCACAAGAAATAAAAAAATGAAATGGAAACCATCATTAGAGAATAGAGAGATTCGTTTGCAAAGTGCAAAATGGAACTTTTCTTTTTTGTTTTTTTTTTGAGCCTAACAAGGCATTATCATTAACTACTTAGTGAAATGTCATTATACATACAATTTTCTAAAAAAACTTTGGTATGCGAGACCAAATATACCAGGGGTGTTCAATTTTAGGGTGTCAACCCTATTTGAAAATCCGATTTTGAATTTGAGATTTGGCAAAATAGAGTCGAATTCAATTAAGACATTGATTCAATAAATATTCGAATTTGATCAATTATTTAATTTATATATATATAATATAAAATATTTAAATATTTTACATCATATATATAATAATTAAATTATAAAAATAAGTTACATAATTATATACTTTATATAAATAAAATATTTATTTTATATATTTATTAATTACCTAAAATATCTGATTGAATTCGAATCGAATTGAATCAAATATTCAAATATTTAATCAAATTCAAATTTGAATATTGATTTTCAATATCCATTGGATATTGAATTGAGTTCGATCTGTTTACACCTCGAGTGTTCATGGTTTGGATCAATACAGTTTAAAAAAGATTTCAAATCAAACTGGTAAAATATTCTCAGACCAAAATCAAACTGTTTTATTATAATTTGGTGGGATTTTTTATATGGTTTTGGACATTCTATTGAACTTAACTCAATTAGAAAGTGAAAACAACATATATAGTTGCATAAATAATAAACTAGCGGGGACTCGTGCGATGCACGAGATTTGTTAAGGAAAACTAAACAATAAAACACATAAGAGTATACAACTATTTATATTTATAACTTTTTAAAATAATGRTTAATTATTTATATTTTATAATACTTTTAATTACTTTTAAAATACAAAAATAGCAATAATTTATTTAAGCTAAGCTTGTTCATTGAATTGATGAAACCAACCAACCTAACCAACCAACCCGAATTGCTGAATTTCTAATTTCATCTAAATTAATGTTTTAATCTCTAATAAATAAAAGTAATTTAATCAACAAAAATTATTAAAAATTTATAGAAAAAGTGCACAACAATTGAAAATATATTGATAATGAAAA